TGTGTGAGAGTGTGTGTGTGTGTGTGTGTGCGTGTGTGTTAGAGTCTGTGTGTGTGTGTGTGTGTGAGTGTGTTAGAGTCTGTGTGTGTGTGTGTGTTAAGAGTCTGTGTGTGTGTGTGTGTGCTAAGAGTCTGTGTGTGTGTGTGTGTGTGTGTGTATGTATGTGTGTGTGTGTGTATGTGCGTGTGTGTGTGTGTATATATACGTGTGTGTGTGTGTATATATACGTGTGTGTGTATATATACGTCTGTGTGTATATACACATACACGTGTATACATGTGTGTGTATATACACGTGTATACGTGTGTGTGTATATACACGTGTATACGTGTGTGTGTATATACACGTGTATACGTGTGAGTGTATATACACGTGTATACGTGTGAGTGTATATACACGTGTATACGTGTGAGTGTATATACACGTGTATACGTGTGAGTGTATATACACGTGTATACGTGTGAGTGTATATACACGTGTATACGTGTGAGTGTATATACACGTGTATACGTGTGAGTGTATATAATGTGCGTGTGTGTGTATGTGTGTGTATGTGTGCGTGTAGTAGGGCTGTCCTCGACTAAGGATTTTTCTGGTAGACTAGTAGTCGTTCATTTGAAGCATTAGGCGACTAATCGCACGTTTATTAACAAACCATTTAAATCATTATAATGGCCTATAATTATAAAAACATTATTAGGCCTACAAAGCCTAATAAGCGCTCAAGCGCACGCATAAAGCTTGCCACAGTGCACCAACAGAAGAAATGATTATGAATGTGTCAGGGAAAAACATTAAGGAGACTGCATTAACATTTTAATATTTTGATAAAACTAGTGCTTTCTTTGTTCTCGGTTTAAGAGATGAAGTCGGCGACACTGACACTGACTCGTCATCTCCGCAGTAGTGGAAGCTCCTGTATGCGTTTCACACGGATTACATGATCTGAGAATATTTGTCTTCCATTTGAATTGTTTCATTTGAAAGTAGACATTTCACTCTCTATAGATATATATTTTGAATGTCTGTAAGGCAAAGATATAGGCTACACAGAGTTTCGCGCTCAAGTTCACAGAGACCGAGACGGCAGAAAGCGCATCATGTTTGCTTTCATTATTTTACAAAAGCGCAGTATTGTGCTCACACAAATACACACACAAATAAGCGTAGAATCTTTACCGATTCGAAAGATGTATTACATTTATCTGTATTGACAAAAATGTCAGAGTATTTTAAGAGCAAGTGAGCGCAGCAGCGCCTCCATCTGTCCTGCAGTGAGCTACTGTTCAGCTCCACACTCCTCACAGACACAAGAGCGCACGTTTCTCTAGGTTAACATTAGATTGAGCTGCCATGTAAAGTTGCTATTACTTACATATTTCAGATGATAAGCCATATTTGAGGTCGATGAATGATAGACGAGCGTTTGGATGTCCTGCCTGATGTACTGTATTTCCGTAGACCAGCCGTTAACGATCTGGTAGTCACTGACTGCGTGACTTCGCCTGTGGATTTATTTTTTCTGAAACTAAGCGACTAATAAAATTTTGGTCGACCAAGCCTCTTCTGGTCGTAAATGTTTTTTTCTGCGACTAAGCAACTAATAAAATTTGGGTCGACCAAGCCTCTTCTGGTCGTCTAACGATTAGTTGGCTATTAGGGGGCAGCCCTACAGTGTGTGTGTGTGTGTGTGTGTGTGTGTGTGTGTGTGTGTGTGTGTGTGTGTGTGTGTGTGTGATCCTGAAA